AATTCAAAAAGAAACAGGATGTAATGGGGTAATAAATTCTGATTCTTCTCTCGACCATATTCGAGGGTTACTAAACCACCAGGTAATAATCTGTTCGAGGAACTTCACGCTGCAATTCGGCGTGACGAAAATGCCTCTTGAACGTTGGGTATTAAGTAATATGTACTAAGCTGAGAAAGCAAGAAAAAAAAACATTTTCGCGAAATCGACATCTCACATCACATTTTTCGTATGAAGTAAAGTGAGCCGAACTAAAAACTACTAATATCAATGTTTAATCCCAACGTATATTTATATACATGTGTTGTTTAGGAAATGCAGATATTATTGTTGTAAAAATCAAGTATCACATTCAGAAAAAGGTGGTTTGTTGGAAGCCACAACCCAGGGGTTACTCTACACTCGACCAGTTAGTTACTCATAGATTCTTTAAGGCAAAATCTTGAAGTCCCAACTTTGTTCATTTATCAACTGGTCCCTCAACGTCACAGTGTGCCTACCTCAACTACTTTCATTATCTCAGTGAATTAATAAAAGGATCGCAAATATGGCGGTGAATCTCAATAGGGTTAATCAGCGCCCCAAATGCTTGATTGTGCTGACCTATTTATTCTACGATGTTGAGTGGGTATAGAACAGTGGTCTGAGATGCATTGCGGATAACATGGTTTTTAGTTCGATCTTGGTCCAGGACAATGGTTTCTACATCTCTAAGGCCAGAAAAGTCGTTTCAAGATTGCATGACAGGATAAAATCACGGAGTGGTAACCACAGGAATTCATTATTTAGCTAAATATACATTCACTCATCTCTACGATTCTCAGTAGAGTAGAATGCATATTACGTTTAAGAAATAGATCATTTTCGAGCACTTTGTAATTTTATCTTATCCCAGTGGTTCGTCGCATCATATCTTAACGTTATTAACGTATGAGTTGGCCTCCGTCCTCAATTTCCGGCGTGGATTGAAGTCTCGGATTTCCTTTGTCACTAATATTATAGTCCCAGCAACACCCCCTCGAAAGCGTGTTCAATAATGCTGATCGCGCTTTCGTGCTGCTTTACTTCCAGATTGGTGAGGGATAGATTTGTACTGAGAACGTCGCAATTCTAAAGCTGTAGATGTGCTTTTTTATGCTTTACTACACCTGGAATATTTTAATGATGTCCCAATTAGATCAATTCTGCCGTAAGATCACCAGCAACATATCGGAAACAAGTTATTTTCTCATGTGTAGTCCCAGTTATTTTCTCTCTCTCTGCGGCGCATGCAGCGAAGTCCATCTCACTAGTGTGGACAAATTAATGGTCTTGTTTGATGCAACACCAAACCATAGAGATTCATTTATAGATCCGATATGCATTCAATCACTTCCACGATGATCAACGAAGTCGAGCGCATGGCGCTTCCCTCAAGCCTTCATAAACGCCGAACAATTTATCCTTTTTTACATCGCTTTTCTAGCTTTAACCGAGGGTCATGCGCACTATCGAAATAGCCCACCTTATTTATACTATGCAATTATTTGGTGTTCCAAGAACGATGTCATTTACAGCGAAACGAGGATAGTGTGGCTGTAGGTCATCGACCATCCCTACAATGTTGTCCCATTCCAGTTTCCGCGCGGTGTTTACGAATTTGGTGCAGAGTAATTTTGGGGACAGAGGGTTTCCCTATTTAACGCCTATTTACAAGATCGTAGCTAACTTTGATCTGAATTCATAAAAATCTGGTTGTAAAGTTTGTGTGACTCTCATGTAAAATCAATAATTGAATAACTAGAGAAACGTTGACTAGCCAGGCATTTCCATAAATGCCTTCTTAAGGCGACAAAATGAATGCAAAGCTTAATCCAATGAAAACGAGAAATATCGGGCTCTCATTTCCCGCGCAATATTAAAGTGCACTTCACTACTGTGCTTTTATAATTTATCGTAGTGGATGCTCATTAAAAGTTCGCTTGATCGCACCACATTTCTTCACCCTATCTTGTGCCAGTTTTTCTTATGCAACCGGCTGTGTATTAGTTTAAGAACATTAATATTCGGCCAAGTTCGGACCGCTATATCGTCCTTAAGTAATTGGTTCCAGGAATCGCCTTTGCCACAGAAGTGGGTGCTGAAAGAATCCTAGTCGCAAAGCTGCCAACATCTATCCGATACGCAGGAGCCGGTGAGTGCCTGTGGTGAAGACTTGAGAACGCCCAAGCACGACTTTCTCGGATCTCATGAAAACTGGGGCCGGCCAACATTCCACGTGTCAACGAGGTCTCGTTCATATCCTCAATAGCCAAACCCATACGCGAATCCATTCATTTCCGTGGGTGCTTTTTCCACGACAACAAAACGAATGAGAGAAGTACTCGGAAGCGCACAATCAGAAGAGAGATCGTCTTAGTATCTACAATAAAATAAGAATTTAATGTTGTGATAGAGAAATTTATCCCTACATAATAGAATCGGTCTGTTCTACTAATTACGGGTTCATGTCAGTGTAGGAAGCTCACTGCACTCCCTCACTTCCTCATCCTCTTCGAAATCTACTAGAAACATTTCGAAATGGGTATGTGGTTATGAAAGTTGCACCATATTGAATTTGGAGAAATAATGTAATCTATTTTTCTACACATTCTGGAGTTAAAAAAGCATACCGTTTATGGTATTCTTTCGTCGTGGTTCCTTTTGCACTTGTAGGCTGTTATCGTTTTTTCTCTTCACTGAATTGTCCTTTAATGTTATTACTTCTTCATAATGAATTGACTGAATATTTACAAGTCGATAAGCAAGTTAATGACGGATGACTCAGTAAATTAACAGAATTCTTTTATCCACTTCTTTCAAGCCTTATTCCTATAGATATTTTCGAATCCAATGCTTCAATTTTCCTTGGTTTCATAGAAATAGCTTCGTTGATAACTGAAAAATTGCTGATTTCCTATACAACATTTTTGAAAGAGTAAAGGATCCCTGTTAAATGGAAAGGATGAAACTGTAGTAAACCATAAGCACAAAGTATATTCTGCGTTGCTCGGTTTCCTGATTGACCTATGCAGACCTGAGCAGTCGCACTAACAAATTCAGCACTGAAGGACACCGTACTCTTCCACAAATATCAATCTCTTGTCGTAACAGCTGATTTCTACTCTACTTCTACTGAAAAATTGACACCTCTGTTATTCTATGATCTTCCAAAAAAACATTGACGATTAAACAAGCAACTTAGAGTTTCATTAATTGAATCGTTTCTCCAGATATGACGATGCAACGAAAGAATTACATAAACATGAACGTCACACGGCATTTTTGGTGGCCAAATGCGATAAATAAAAAACAGTCATTCGTGCCGACCATGGTCTCCAAATTACTGTTCCTGTCAAAAAAAGGAATGAAACTGACAACTGCGCAGACTGTGTTGTCACGAGGTCAGCAGATCAGCATATGAAACTGAACTCTTTCAACTCTTCTGGTTTGCTGTTTGAAATGTGAGGTCCTCCAATGGAAAACGAGCATGAAGCCTTACCTACAAAGCTTTTTTCAATTATATTCACCTCATTCTACCTAATTAGTGCCCAATTTGTTCAGTACCTTTCCTACAGCACTTACAATTTATGAAATGGGGTAAATCACTACTATAGTTAGTGGACTGCCCTCCAATAATTTCCTGAACTTGTAAGCTTCCCTGTATTCTACTCGTTTTCAGTTTTTGGACTCAACAGAAGGGAGCAGGAATTCATCAATTCTTCACCTTTGCAGGTATAATGGATATAACAACTTTTCTTTGAAGGCCATGTGTGGCGCAGTAGTTGGAGGCGCCACTGCAACACACGCGCGGAATCGATCCCGGCGCCCATGGCCCACCAAGCTTTCCATCCCTCTGGGCTTGGCAAATTGGCACCAGACCTGTCTGAGAGGATAGCAGCACTGACTCGATAGATCTGTAGGCCACCGCAATTCTAAAGGCCAGATATGCATTCAATCACCTCCAACGATACTTAATGAAATCGAATGCATGGCGCACCTCTCAGGGATTGATCAACGCCGAGAGCTTTACCCACTGCCCTTTTATCAACGACTTTTCTGTAGAATTCTTTTATATTACAGAATCATAAACGCTGAGCATATCATCCACGTGGAAATCTACCCCGCAAAATCCGGATAAAACAGAGAAATGAAATGATGCGAAGAAAAGAGCTGTTCAGACCAACGGATGACCATGACAATATATAAAATGGGCAATAAATGGTAATGACATAGACAAGCGCGGATTCTTGTGCAACAACAATCATACAGTAGAACAGTTATAACACCCGCATCACAGCGACATCTACAAAGTGAAAACAACAAATTATGTTGATTATAAGAGCGGTTATATTGACTCTATCAAGCAATCACATATTGTTTATCATAAATTATTATATCACTAATGTCTTAATCACTTGAAGAAAAAAAAAACGGTTGAATGTCGAATACCACAACCGTACAGGTGCTCTGGAGAAATACGTATATTGTCAGAGGTCAAGCAAAAATGGCCAACCCTTAAAACAGCAGTAAATATAGTATCTATGTCTATCTAAAATCATCTACGAAACCATAAAGCCTTCAAAAGTGAGATAAGAGTGGTGCAATTCAGCACACGATAACGAAAACATATACAGGTACTTACAAACGATTCGGAATAAGGTCAAGACTCTTAGACCCGCAAGCGAAACACCGCCATTACACATACTAATACCCTCTGATAACAGTATAAAAAAACATTAATCTAAGCTGATGACGAATGGATGGACAACAACAGAGAGCTCTTTGTGAATGACATCAATAATGGAGCTCGCACGACTAAGGAGGGAATGATTGATGACAATGCATTGAAATATTTGTTCAATCTTCTTGTGTTTTCCATAATTAAACATCAGAACTTCAACAGGATAATTTTAAAAACCATTGCATTATGTATCTTCCCCATCATAGTTCATCCTTGGGAACAAAACGGAGAAAAAAAGCTATGACCGGCCGTTATGCTCCTTCTCAGCTGGATGACGAAGGACTGCAGCGGCCGACTGTCTCGTTATGCGAGTGGTTTTTATAGGAACCACATCGCCCTCCGGATATGACGGATCCGAACCAGCTCGTTTTCTTCGACAAACAGGTTCTGGTGTAGGAGACGAGGAACTATTTTCAGGATTTATGTTCTTCGTCAATGAGGCAATGATGGGAGGCAAGACGGCTTTACGTGAACTCTCGAATACCTGAAAAACAAAAAACTATAAGTATGGATTCCTCACACTATTTGTCGAACCATACCAAATTCTAAGATACGCTTGTAGTTAACCTCCTTTTTTTCCAAAACGCTACAGTATCGTACTTTGAAAAAACCGTGTTTTTTTTATGTTACACGTTCCAAAAAGTCAATATTTGGATCAGATTCCGTTTTCTGGGAGGTAACAGAAATATACGTTTGATCGAGATCAAACAAACATTCATCCTCGATTACTGCCACAAACGTTGTCTAGAAAGCACCAGGATTCACACATAAACGCATACAGTCCAACATTTGTTTTTCGATAATCGCCAATAATTTTTTGAAAACTAGAGTTCTTGAGCATTGAAGACGTTGGTAGATCTATGGATGACATTTTACCCTGTGGCTTTAAATTTAATGGACTTGTTGAATCGCACCGTTGTTTGACAAAAAAAAAAAGACGAGACTCGACGTAGAAAGTACTTCCAAAGGGTTGAAGAAATTGGAATTCATTCTTGTTGAATATGAAAGCTTGTTTTATAGCGGCAAAGATCTAATATACTAAAAGTTTTCACTTCAATTAATAAGAGTTAACTACGAGCTGAACGATGAATGTTCAAGATTGTGAAGCGAAAGTATTTCCGGCTATGAATGAATAATATATGATTCATATTAGGAGCACTGTTAAGCACATACAAATTCTAGACATACCGCGTCCAAGTGATACTGTAACCTGTAACGTCGATAGAAAATCGAGATCTCTTGTGGCGTTCGATTTCCAACAATCTTCGACACTTCACCGAACTTCTTGCCAACTTTTTTGAAAGCTATAAAAAAAGTATTCTACTGAGCTGCAAATTCACGGAAAATTTTCAAGGCACACCTCTTACAATTTCCAGGATTTCATCATCTCTGAAGCCTTCGAGAGCTACCCGACTGACCACACTGCCAAAATCACTTTGTAGAGCGCACCTTAAAGCAGGCGTAAGACCATTCGGATTTTCACATTAGTTCCTTCCAATATATAATATTAACCCAAATTCTCCACCCAATTTGACGGTCACTCTCAACTTTGGTCCTTTTTTCGTTATTATCACCTAAACCTACCAATCTGTGACCTGAGTTACAAAACATTCCAACTTCATTTTATCCCATTTTGATTTAGAAAAAAATAAACGAATACACCTCCCAGCCTCCTCTCCATACAAAAATACTTGTTGATTTTATTTGAACATATTCACTATCGAATAAGAAGTAAAACACAAACAAGTGGTTTCACCAGCTGTAAAAAAAAGCTCTCAACGTTGATCAATTCTCTAGGGTACCATGCATTCAACTTCATCACAAACCATTAGATGTTTGAATGCATATCTAACCCACACGATGACTAACGCTGGTCTACCGATGTATCAAGTCAGTGCTGCTATCTTTCTGGATATGTCTGGTACCAATTTGCCCATCCCAGAGAGATGGAGGCCTTGGTGTGCCTGGGGCGCAGGATCGAACCTGTGTATTGCAAGGCACCCCTAACCACTGCGCTATATGGACTCTTTAGTTGCTCTATAAAAGATAAATGATAAAGCTTTCAGAGTTGGCCAATCATTAGGAATGCGCCATACATTCGACTCTATCAAACGCCATAAAAGGGATCACTGTTAGTTTGATCTTCTAAAACAAGACTGAAGCCAACATCCCGAACCCAGAGTGATGGAAGACTTACTCTGTTCGAAGAGGAACGGGAGAGGACGAGGGAAGCGAGGAATTTAGAACTGAACCAAAATATCTTGTGTACTGCAAGATCCATCAACCACTACATTAAACGAGTCCCTTTTCAGTGTCTATTTAAAAGAAAATTGAGGAATTAGATAACTATAGTGACTCATAATGCAGAAGTGTGATAATACCAACAGAAAGATAGGTGAGTTATGCTTACTAACCACATCCTTTTACCCGAGTCAACCATGCTAAGTGTAGCGCCGTTGTTTGTCATTTCCAATAATCTGTGACGTGCAGCTGTAATCACGGCCCTCAGTGTCAACAGAACCCATAACCACCATCCCATATACCACTTAATTGACATAAACCCTTAAGAAAGCTTGTAATATGCTAAACAATATTCACATACATTTCCCATACTCAAATGAGTGTTTTGGCCTTAAACGTTTTGGAAACCAAATATTCCACGACAATGACAAAGCACCACTGAGACCGTAGTATGCAACCTTTTTTGACACTTTCCAATATGCCGAGTAGTCACCGTAAAAGATAGGCGACGAAACTTCCGCATTTTCATAAATCATTGTTGCCGCCTATCACATAAGAATAGTATTCTTGAATATATCATACCTTCTCACGCTAAATACAATACAACAGTCCTTTTCTAAAAATCGCTACATGGATTGGCATTTTGTGACGTGAAATATAGTTTTATTATAACCCTGTTAGATGAAGTAATTTGTTGCCAAACCACTATAAAAGCTTGACATTTGAGAGCTACGTACTAACGAAGGGCACATCCAGCGCGATGGTCACCGATGCTCTAAAATACACACCTAGTCTATGGTTCCCACGCTCTGAGCTCAACGAGCCTTCCATGCTTTCAGTATAGGTAGTTGATACCAGACTTATCTGAGAGGATAGCAGTACTGACTAGATACATCGGTAATCGCAGCGAGACATTGTATAGGCCACATATGCATTCAGTCACCTGCAACGATGCCTAATGAAGCCGAATGCACGGCGCATCCCTCAGGGACTGGTCAACACCGAAAGCTTTATCCTTTATCCTTTTACGTACCAAAGAAGACTGCCGCATGCATTGACTCCATATACACTGGAAAAGTGTTTTCTACAATATGCCTAACCACAGACACTATCATCATTGTGAATTTTGGGCTCTTTACTTTTAGTTTACCACCTTTTCCTGAACAAAGTATATAGCTCATCGCATTTCTTTTAAATAGTATTACTGCGTATTAGTTATTATCTCCACTCAATGGAACAAAAACGAATCGACAAGATATGAACGAAAACGTAGAAGAGCTACCGAATCTATCCCTCCGTCCATCACTCCCGCCGATACACAAACGTACAAACTGTTTCTAAACTCCAATGTTCTCACAAGAAGCCTTAGAGTTTGAAAAACAACACCGCATTCGTAAAGTATCNCCCACCCCCCCCGCCGATACACAAACGTACAAACTGTTTCTAAACTCCAATGTTCTCACAAGAAGCCTTAGAGTTTGAAAAACAACACCGCATTCGTAAAGTATCTTCCAACGGTTTACAGCCTCATCAGGGAGAGGGAGGGAGGGAGGGAGGGTGAGGAAGAGCAGGGCTGGGGGAGGGCTCCTGGGTGTCGGGCTGCGATGTACAGCGGTAGATTCGTCCCCTGGCAAGGCTTCCCAAGCTGAAAAGGAGCTCGGCGTTCCCATTGGGAAGTTCAGCTAAGAGTAAACCAATACCTCGATCCACCACCATCCTGGTATCGAACAAGTTGCATGGTGGCAAACCTCGCTCTGATCCACAAGAGCGCGACCGCCTGTGGTGATGACGACCTGGAGCAGACTTTGGCCCGCTGACCTAGGGATTATAGGGAACAACAATGACTAAACCACCAAAACTCCGAAAAAAATGGAAATTACGCTGGTCCATTGAAGACGGGCCACCTAACTATCCAAGCATTCGTAACGTGACAAAGCCGGTTTTCAACAAATCCCTCAAATTTTTTCCCATAGTTGCTACAGTGGTGAATTTGATGACTCAACATTTACAGAACAGACTTCGCCTTATTTCTACAAAGGTATGTGTAAAATTTCAAGACGTTATTATCATTTCAAATTTTCTGCCGAGTAAAATCTTCAAAACATACAAAAGTTTGAATCGTTTAAACCCTCTACGCAAGCCTAGCAGTAGCAAACATTAACGATGCATTCGGGACACATATACGCATATTGACGATGCATTTGGAGACACGACGATGTCCTGCTCGATAAAATCTCCCTTGTCCAATCATTTTGTTGTTCGAAGTAGAGGCGTCGAGAAAATTGTGAGCTATAGAGAACAAGAACTCTACCACTGCAGAGCAACATAAGTGGTGCCGTGTTGGCAACGGCTTGTAGATACTAATGTATTTCATTTCAATTGAACTCCATTATGATCTCCTTATTCAAAGATGAGAAATTTAGCGAATTTCAGCCGCATATGAATCACATGGGGTGTGGATAGCGCAGTAGGTAGTGACCCCCTCTATCAGGAAGCAAAACGCGCTAGTTCGATCCACACCCCAACGCTCTCCTCCTAACCATATACGAACTCCTTTGCCCAGCTGTCTCAAAGAATGCGGGGAGAATTGACTAGGTCAGCACTTTATGACATCCGTAAGGATGAAATCCTCAAGGAGCAACTGGAACAACATGCGAAATGTTTGAAGACCATTTTGGACGAGGAGTGCAAGGAAAATGAATCAAATGCGAGAAGTGCTGAGGTCAGCACAGCAAATGTGATGACGGCTAGTGTAAAAAAAATTAATCACATGCGACTCATGATGTTCAGAATGTGCTATTAAATACATGCAATTCAAGGAAATGGCGACTGCACAGATCCGAAAGGTTTTCACAAAACATTAATTGCATTACTGTACTTTTATTAATTCTGATAAAAGTGTGTATCATACCAACTGAGAAAAGTAGCCGATTTTCTTCAAGGTAGGTATAAATCATTTAGAGAGTAGAGAGGCTATCTCACTGCTCATATTTCTCCCAGCAGAAACTCCATTACTAACTGGCGTTCACGACCTCCGAATTAACAATTTGAAACAAACCTTGGATTTGTTACAGGTTTGAACTTCTGCGTTAAATCCATGATTTGCTCGCTCGTGAGCTTTTTCTTCACCGGATGTGTTGGAATCTGCAATTACAAATTCCAGCATGAACTTTTACACAGCAGGCAGCATGGCCGAAACGACTAATATCCAAGAATATCGCAAGCGTCCTTTTCAGTGCATTTTATTGATAAAATATTTGCTCTGAATTATGAATTCGTCTCAAAACCTATAGGTCCAAAACAAGTCCATAACGCTTCTAAATTTCAATCAGTTGCAAAATAATAAAAAGTGTATGTATATGTTAAGGATTTGGTAATCTGTTACTCCAAATTTAGAGTCGTAAATTGGAGAAAATGCTACGATTAGATTTTTCCTATTTCTCTTGGAAAAAAAAACTTTCAAAAAGCGTCCAAAACATTGAATTCCATTCATTCTGCTAGAAAAGTGGAGCCCGAACACCAAATCAGTACAAATATTATCACTGCTCCAGTCCTGCCGCTACTACAAGACTAGCTCGACGGCATTCATGATCGTGCAATAAAGAAAATATTTTCATGAATATGACGACACAACCATATGGATGTTTAAAAGGGCTAAGTTTTGCTATAAACAAACCTTACCACACGTTCTAAGAAAGAAACGCCCAGAAATAAAAGTAATGCACCAACCTCGTCGAAATCTGGATTCATGGCAACAGCCTCGCGACGCTCAGCTTCGAGCCACTCAAGGACCTAGAACAACAGAATTGTCTAATGTAAGAACAAGATTGCTATTTCAAGTGCAAATATTGATCTAAAAAATAATTTGGAGCATGTGTGGGAAAATAAACAGAAAATAAACATGGAAACTATCATAATTTGCAAACAAGTTATGAGTTAAAGAAAAAGGATAAAGCTTTCGGCAATGATCAATTCCTGAGGGATGCGCCAATCATTCGACTTCATTAAGCATCAATGAAGGTGACTGAATGATGGCCTTCCCAATGGCTCGCGGTGGTGTACCAATGTATCGAGCCAATGCTGCTATCCTCTCAGACAAGTCTGGTACCTACATACCCACCCCGCAAGAATGGAAGGTTTAATGTACTCACAACCACCAACTTCTGTCACACTCAAACAAGAATAGTATTTTGACTAAGAACCTATGCACCGAAACATTTTCCTATGAAGTAGAAAGCACACTGTTAGAAGCGCTTTTCTCTTTTTTAAGAGTAACCTGCACCTACCTCTGAACTCGACATTGTCCTTTTATTATCTTTCTCCAGCTGAATCCATCGTTTTACAATTCTTTCATCCGCCTCGAATAACTTTCCAACGACAGTTCGATGAGTACCATTCTTTCTAAACGACATATCAACAAAGCAGTAAATGTGAAAGTGTGCATGGAATCGCATGAATAACTTTCTCAAGAGTCCTAATCAATAAGTACCTACACCCCGTGCACGATAATACAAGCTAAAATGAATCCTTCAAGTAAAACGCAATTTCGAGATTGATTTCAACAGAATTCGAATTCGTGTAGGCTTATCAAAGAAATCTTACATATTGATTGGTTATACCAAGGTTAAGGGAAGGTCGGTTTTAAAATAACTTTGACAGAGTCTACACAGCCAACTTAGTTTACTCTAACATAGAACGGTTTTCCACATAGATTTTAAGAATAGATGAAACACTTTTACAAAGATGAGCACGACAAACACGCTCATATGAAGACAAGTAAAGATTTTCGTTGAAAATTGTGCACCACCGGACAATACAAAAGCACACATTACATGTAAACAAATGTCAATGCTGATCATTACAATAGATGACCTGTCCACCAACAAGCTTGAACTTGACCAACGGACTTCATCCAATAATAGGAGATGAAAGTATCATGCTTACTAATGATCCTCATTTTAACCTTTTTTGCCAAAATGGTTGCCACATGTAGCTTGTCGAGTTGTAGCTGTGGTGGTGGTGGTGGTGTGAGTGGGTGAGAGAACGACTTATCTATGGGCAACATAAACTGCTCCTCCGGAATTCCTGTGTTATTTATTTGCGCCGATTTGAATAACCCCATCCCATTTACACGGCTCTCAGCTTTTTGACTCAGAACTTTGACTCAGAGTCAAGAAGTGTATAAAATCCGTACATATTACATCAGATTACAGTATTATAACCACAAGGGTATGCATGCTACCATTCACGGTACAAGTACATAGGAAAGGAATAAGTTGACAGCGAGAACAGACATACATGCACACATACACACAAATAATTACTCTACAGTAGCTCACCTATAATAAAGTTGACAAATGGAACAGTACTTCGCCGGCCTGGGCCGCCCTTCCCACAAGTACTTCGTACAGTTTGCGCACTCAAAACGTGGTACTTTCACTTCAACTGCGCTTGTAAGCCTAAAACAATCGTTAAAAACTCATACGATTCCCCCGAATTTATATATAGAAAAGCACAATCTTAATGTATATACCTTTCTCTGCAAGTGCACTGCGTATAACGCTCATGTATACAGGATCGCCTTTTGGAGTCGTAATAGTACTTCGTAATCTCACCCAGATAATACTGTCGCATCTAAATAAAAAACATTGAGTAATACTCATACATTCACTAATAAGCAAAAAGAAAATCAAATCTTACGAATTTGTCCTGAATGGCTGCAAAATTTTTCCCTTTCAGATCTCTGAGAATACGTTCAAACTCTCGTTGTTGAGCCACATTCAAACTGAAATGCTGGATTTCACTGCGTACTTATTTACTTGGGTGGCTCGTCTTCACTGGTTGTGCTGGTACCAGCAAAAATTCCATTTTTTCAAAGTTTTGCTGGTTTAGCTATCGTGAATACCCGGAGTCATGATGTCAGTCCAGCCAAAATCTGCCCCAGGTCGTCACCACTACAGGTGATCAGAGGGTGATTTACCACCATGAAACTAGTTTGATACCAGGACGGTGGTGGATTCTCGTACTGGTTTACACTTAGTCGTGATGGCAACGCCGGACTCCTCAGTTCGGAAAGCCCTTCGGGGGATGAATCCCCGCTGTACAACGCAACCCAATACCCAGGAACACCTAGCCGCGATAAGGAAGTAAACCGTTGTGAGGAGAATTTACTACAGAAAACGAAATACAATGAGGTGGGAAACATGCGACTTTTGAACACTCGAAGAGGACAACGTGCGACTAAATGAAATGTTTACAAAATATACATAAAAGAACTACACAATAACTTACTCTTCGAAAGGCTGCGGTAAATTTGTCCACTGCTCAACTTCAATATTTTCTAACAGTGCATCAATATTGTAGTTGTGTTTCATAAAACAAAATAATACCTGAAATATACGAATCAAATCAAGTCCTAAAGTAAAAAGAAAACCTCTCCTTTCACTAACCGAATCCAGCTCAATTCTCCCACCGTACTGTGAACGAATTGCTGACCAAGCTTCATCAAGCTCTTCAGTTGAATACCCGGAGCTTCCGCTAGGTTCTTCTTGCCACATCTAGAAATGAGTACACTATTCATAAAATAAAATTAATTTAGTCATTCTGATGAAAAATCCATCTAGTGTGCCCAGAAATCCTAGAATCCTTTCATGGAACATCATTTTAAGACAGAACTCTATAAGTCACCTAGCTTAATTCATAGAAATATTTCCACCTAACGGTCGCCTTTTGTTTAAATCCATTTAGGTAAAAAACTTGCCACATTTTCGCTGCCTCTCGAGTATGTGTACTTCTACCGCCTGTACATTAACCCTGAACATAGTTATGCCTGTAGCTCCCAAGAGATAGTCTTAGACAATACTTTAGACAAAAAGCAGCACAGCATGACGGAAGAATTCTGCTAGATCACAGGAAAATGGGTAGCAGGCAACAATAGGGCACGTGTAGCGCAATGGTCGGAGGCGCTCTGCAATACACATGGGATAGATCCCGGCGTCCATGGCTCACCAAGCCATCCATTCTCCAGTGTTGGCAAATTGGTATCAAACTTGCCCGGGAGGATAATAGCAGCACTGGCTCGACTCATTGGTAGACCACCCAAGTCATTGTAAAGGCCAGACATGCATTCAATCACCTCCAACGATGCTCAGTGAAGTCGAATTCATGCCGCATCACTCAGGGATTGACCAACACCGACAACCTTACTCTTTGTTTTTTTAAGCAACAATGGATAGTTGTACCTTCAGTTAGAAAATAGAATCGTATTTCCTGGCCAAACTGGGTAAAATAACAGAGTAAAAAATCTCTGTCAAATGTTAATCTCTCAATATCACTGTTCCAAAAAACGACATACCAGTTCCTCTCTGTCAGGTTCCTCCTCAGCTTGCCAAGGAGCTACGAAATCACACGCATAAAATGGCTCAAAAGTAGCCTAAAGATGAGTGTGCACTAATATATGTTAAAGAAAAATTCATAACAAAGAAACTACAAGCAACTGTTCGACCCATTGTGAGGCTTAGAAATATGAAACATAAAAAAAAGGACCTGACCCCAACTTCATCAATTTGCTACAGGGGACCTACTTAGTTAACGTGAAGACGAAGCCTCAGTACGAGTAGAGCTTTAGTGATTTATAACCATAATGATGGTGAGATGTTTGCAAAACTCTTGCTAATAGCACCTATGAGTCAATATCAATACACGGGTGGGAAAAAGGCGAAACGAAGGACTCGCATGGTGTGGTGATGAACGTGTTAACCTCGGAAACGGTAATAGCGCATTCGTTCTCCACTGCAGACACCAGCGGTTCGGAGTTTTGCAAATATTTCAGCATCATTATGACAATATTCATGATTTATTATGACAATATTAAACAATACTACAACATTTCACATAACACTCTACCGTTAAAAAGAATAGGCAGTAAATTAAAGGTATATTTGTTCAAATTTGGATGTGAATTTGTTTAGCACCATAAAAAACCGTCGAAACATCGCTTGAGTAAGTCACAGGAGCAGAACTACAAGAGAAGTACAGGAACGTCTTGCACCCTAGAAATTCCCTATGAAGAAAATTTGTAGTAACCTGATGATCCGGACCAATCCTAGCAGTGAGTTCAACATGCATATTTCGTCGTCGAGTGCCACCAAGAGGGGAGACGGGCTCAGCAAGACTACTTCTTGTTCGAGGACCAACCATGTCAATTGACAACTTGTCCTTTTCCTTAGTACTTTTATTTCGTGGTACCATATTTGGTATACGTGTACCACCTTTCGGTGGTTGTACAATCCGAGCTGAAACAAAAAACATCAAGAATGCTACAACTGACTAGCCCGACAATAGAATCTCTTAAAGAAAATAGGATAAACCTACGTTGCTTCAGTCTCTTAGAATCAACATAGTTGTCAACAAATTCAGCAGCTGATGGATCACAGGTTCTCGTAATCCTGTAAAGCACTTTTTCGCTTAAAACACAATCTTTTGCAAACAAGGATGAGAACCGAAAACTTTAGCTCCAACCAAAACAAGTCGGCTCTTCTGCCAATACTTACTTAGCTACTTAGATTCCCCGCCCTCATTGGTTGTGCGGACTCTAGCATAATCTCTATATTTTCAGAGTTTTGCTAGTTTAACCACTGTAGTTCCCCGGAGTCCCGAGGTCAGCCAGGCCAAAGTCTGCTCTAGGTCGTCACGACAGGCAGTCGCAGCCCTTGTGGATCAGAGGGAGATTTACCACCATGCGACTTTGATACCAAAACGGGGGTCGATCCTGGTATTGGTTTACTCTCAGCTAGGCTTCCTGATGGAAACGCCGGACTCATCAGCTTGAGAGACCCTAACAGAGGATGAATCCCTCGCTGTACATCGCAGTCCGACACCCAGGAGAACCTCCCAACCACGATGAGGCGGTAAACCGTTGGGAGGTTCCTGCCAATACCTGTTAGCAAATGGAAGACATACTCCGAACCGAGTATATACTTCAGGATCTCACCTTCCACTTTTCCTTACAACCTCGTCAGTCCTGCGAACGCCATTAGACTTCTTCTTTTTCGAAATGGCTTCACAAGATAACTGTGCTGGGCTCGACTTCGACTGAAAGGCAACTGTAATTGCTGAATGGACTTCAAAATAGGGATCTATATAGCTCTTCAATTATTTCGATAAAGCTACAATAAGAAGAATACTTCTCTAGATAACGTCAGTTTACACTCATGAATTTCTACTGGCTACCACAAAACTTCCGAATGTTTCTAATGGGTGTTCTATTCAAAAACGGGTTCCTTGCCCAGACGGCTTTTTATAAAAAAGACAGTAAATGGACGCCAAAACAGGTCTACGGGAGAGTATACGTATGACATTATGAAGTATTTCCATCATCGAAGTTTAGTAGTGGATTTGTCAAAGTCTTTTGAATACAGCATTGCATCTTTGAAGATAAACTGCACAAGAGACATCTACATGGGAAATGATTCTAGCCAAGAGGCTGGATAATGCTATAAACAAAATGTCATATATCACATTACATACGCTACTTAAACTAGGACTAAATCCTTCATAAGAAAGCTCACTAACGTCCTGGTCGTCTTCGGAAGGAGGCGTTAGCAGGCTCGACGACGTTTTCGACGCATTCGTCGATTCAGTGACATCTATTTGAAGACCATTCTGAAACATGTAAAGGATGAAAGAAAGGAAAAAAAAAACGAAAATATGATTTTGAAACCAGAAGGTTCACCTGGAAAGTACACTTCGTTCTGGTCTAAGGACAGCTTACTGTTGTACTAATGAGGGACAAGTGGTACTATTGTAGTAAACTGCAGTGAATGTTACAAGAACTAGCTCATACTATGTAGTAATTGAAGCTTCATAGTATGTAGTACTTGTTTCTGCTAGTACACTTGCACTACCACTACCTTAACAAAACCATGCTCTGATTACAAAGCAATTTCTTCGGTAAGTACTACGAATACAGTATACAGCGCGCTATAACTCGTCCGTAGAACTCAGCAGGTAACGCAAAGGACCAGTTCGCCACAGTACTACCACAGCGTAACGTATAGCATCAATTCACCACGGTACTGCATGAGTTCGCCACAGTACTACCTCGTCAGTTCATCATGGTACTACCAATACGTTACGCTCACTTATGAGCACGCAATACAGGACATGTCACTATACTGCTGAAGGAGTGTTTCAAAACATCCCAATCGGTACGAACCTCACTGGTCGCTGCGTCGACGTTCGGTGACGGAGCTTCGTGACCGCTCGATGACGTCATTGTATCGTCGACAACGGTCGGTGCGTTCACTTCGATCCCTTCGGATACTTTTGCGGGCGCAATTCTATGAATTGAAATCACTTCAGAGTTCGATTTCTTTATGTTCAATAGCTTATGTTGTGATCGGGTGACGTCCACCGACGCAGACACTCGTCTACTGTGCGTCTTCTGCAGCGTGTGCGTGGCTAAGTGAATGGTGGCTGGCTTCTGGAGCAGTGGATGCGTCTGGATAAGCAGCGACGGCGCTGTCGAAACGCGCTGCATGTACTTCGAGCCTGGCTTTACGTCTAAAACAAGAGTCATTAGTGACCTTAAGTGTGCTCTAAAGTCACGTGACCTTAATAAGCAAGCGATATGGCCATTTCTCGCTTAGGCTTTCACAATGGCGTACTGTTTCACCAGGACTCGTCTTGCAGCCTATGTACGTTAGTTATCGACTACCATTCTCAGAAAATAGCGACTTATGACATGAGTTCGACCTCGCTTAACAAACTTTTTTACTTTGCCGAAAATTTTTCCTGAAGTGAGCTTTCTTATGGATCGAAATCGCAATAGGCTGAATGCTATTATGAAACGATGATCGACGACGAACTGCTTCAAATCATCACGACGAATGCGTGGAGCGAGAGACACAAAGCGACCAGTGCGCGCGGCCGAGAGAGCGCACTTGAGCACGCCGGATGCCGGAGGCGCAGAGTGACGCCCAGCGCCGCCAACACCGCACAACAAACGCGATTTCAGGCCTACAGAGCTCAAATTTTCGGGAATTTCCCGAGATTTTCCGATGAACGCCTTATGAGAAAATATCGTTAGTGAAAAATGTAAGAATAAATCACTCAGAGGAAGGTTAGAGGGTTAAAAATTGCAGAACACGCGACTCGCTGGTAGAAGCGTGTGTGTTCGACGGCGGCGGGCGGTGCGACCTACCGTAATCGGCGAGGGAATCGGAGTGTGCCATACAAGAAAGAAATTATCGATTCTTCGGCAGCCCATCTACATTGTCGGCAATTTAACGTACTGAACTCTGACTGAATATGGTCAGACTCGATTTAGATCTACATGAAAATCATACCTATGTGGTCTTTACGATCGTAGAGACAATCAGCTACTTGATTTTGTTAGGTACAGAAGTGATATTAGGGAAAACAAAGCACTGATAATGCTTACTGCATGTGGATTATTAAAGATTTAGGAACTATTGAAGTTTAGCACCAATCCAAGGAATATCCCTTAAGATTCTGGGATTTAGGACATATTTATTAGAGCATGGAAAACTATCCCAAGAACATCTGGTTTGTTACCATAAAGTGCCACTATTTTCATTTTACACTCTGCGAACTTAAGATGGCTACTTCTCTGGTGTAAACTGCGTAGTAAGTACGTCTATAAAATTATGCTATTAAAAAAGTCCGCATAAAAAATGCACCACCTATTTTTGAGAATGTTCTCCTGTGCAAAGCGCTCGAGTAGAGGCTGGAAATGATGAAAATTAGTAGAGCTTACTTTACAAGTTGCTTAAATCAGACATTATCGTTTATCCAGTCCCTCCTTTATTATAAGCATCTTACGTCCCTTATAGGCTCGGATGCATTACGTGGTGAGCATTTTCAGGAATGGAAGTGATATTTAGGTCAAGAGGTCCATTTTCACAAAAGTCAGCTGATCAAAGCTCTTAATGAGTTAGTTCATTAGCGATAATGCAATGTTCCAGTACAAATCCTACTTAACCTAATCGTAAATTAATGCATCCATTCGATATCACAACTGAGAAGGGGAACATTTTGTGGTGTTAACCTGAGACCATCCTGGCACTGCTGTCACCAAACTCTTCAAAAAAGTTTTTTCCGTCCAACGTAGCAGCTCTGAAAACTACTAGATGTTTAAAAGTGGTAAATTGCGATGCAAGTGTTCTGCTTTCCTTTTACGCTGCTCTTCTGTGAAGAATATGAACAATACTGCAAGCAATAGTAATATCAATGATGTTTGAATTGTCAGTGATTCGCACAGTCTAAGATTTTCCACAAGCACTTCAAAAGCTCAGAAAAAAGTCTAGTCTTCACTTAGGTTTTACCCTGAAGTCGTTTCCATTAAGTAAACCCAAAACCAATTAGCTCTGCAAAATTTTCCTTCAAAAACTGCTCAGCTAAGAAGTACTTATGGTTAAAGCTAGTTAATGCTTTAAACAAACCACGTTGATCATTTAGTTTTTCAGTCAGTGGAAAAGAATGTTAAAGGCTATAAATCTAGCCATTCATGTGAAATGTTTTATAAATTCTGAAGAACTTGAAAACGCTCGAGACGTTTTCACAAAGGTAGCATCCGAATCGCAATAGTTTGTAGTATATGAGTGACTCAGCTCCTTATCCTATCGCTCTGTCAAACAACCGTGGTCATTTGTAAATGGGAAAGAAATAAATAATCACTAGCCTATAAATAGTTGCGTTCTATTTCGTGATTTGATTCAGCGCCTTTTATTGTTTTATGACTTCATTGAGTTTTCCACCCTTCAATTCACTTCCCATATCAAAATCGTCTACATAAGTTGCTTGTAAGATTTAATGCTATGTAAATGTAGATAGCTGTGTGATAAAAGATGATAAGAAAGACGATGAATGTCGACTGATCACAACGTGATAACGATCTTCATTCTATACGACGCATAATAAACATTTTATTTTTTATTTTTTATTTTAATAGGAATTTAAATCAGTGGCTCTTCCTCAGTGGAAGGCACGTAAAAATGGTGGGATTTTCGAGAAGCTGTTGACCATGTGACTACCATTTAGACTCCCATCTTTCTCTATGTGTTATTGAAGTGTTTGGCCTACTAAGTTGTGTATTAGTGTACCCTTCCAGGCTCTGAAGAAGGCGTGCCGAAACGTCAGCTACGATTGTGTTGTATGTGTGTTATTGTAAGGATGTAAACGTACACTGTTAAGCAACCTCGCGATTGCTGAGACAAAAAAACGACGAATTAGGAACTTATTCATGTGAAAGTTATCTTGAGGTTTTCTCCAAATTTAGAAGGAGCAACGATCGTCATTAATACATGTGGCATTAACAGTTTAGGGTATGATTACGTGCCTATGATTACAATTTGTATATATTTTGTTTTCGTAGAAAGAGAAGAAGAAACGGTAGTGCTGTAGTTTCTAGTATGGTAAATGTTTACAGTAATCGGTAGTTGAGTCGTGTTGACATTGGGGTACTACTTATTTTATTTTATTTTGACTCATCTTCACGTCTACTGTGCGGATCCCAGCACTTCTCACACTCAATCCGTTTCCTCGTATACATTGTCGACGAGGACCTTCCAACTTTTACGTATGGTTTAGGTTACTGCTTAAGGATTTTCATTTCATCTTAAATGCCGTAAAATGCTGGTCGTGAAATTTTCCGTGCAGTCTTGAGATAGCCTGGCTAGAGCGTTCCCAATTGGATTTCAGAGAGCGATTGTTTCCCAGACAAGTCCGGTACCAATCTCCCCACCCCGGAGGTATAACAGGCTTGGTTGGCCCAGTACGGAATCGAACTAGCGCTATGCTCGTGATGACAAGCATCATTACCATTGTGCTATCCGCCTCCTGGGATATTAATTATTGGAAGCAAGACCGTGAACCTACACTTCCTTAATAACTTGGTAAACGTTTTGGATTTTAGTCCTTACTGCGATTTCTTGCTGAACTTGTAATGTTGATCAAAGCAATACAGGTACTTCACTTCCATTAAAAAGTTAAGCACACCTGGTGATTTCGGATCATTTTTATTTTCTAATAGTCTTACGGTTTACATAGAAAGTTCTCTCTACACGGCGCCGATTTTCAGCTAAGTTCAGATCCTTCTGAATCGCAGACGTCTTGTTTTCAGACCGGGTTGGTTAAACTCGATGAAGGCAGAAAGCGGCACTAAATCATGTTCATATTTTCGGGGCCGAAAAGGTAACATCTCAATTGTTCGGTCAACTAATATTTTTTTTAAAATGTGAACCTTTTATAGTGATCATTGAGAAGTACTACCATGTACCGGATTCAAATCGCTATCTTTTTTCTATGGCTCAATTCAAATTTTCCGTAGTTATTAAACCTCACACCCTACCCTTCGGAGCTGACAAGGTCAAAGCGTCGAACAGACGGACTGTTCAGCTGACTTTTATGCAGTAGAGGATTTTTAAAGTTTTTTTCCTACAAGACATGTCAGGACTGTTATAAGTTTGGAAGGTCCATAAGATGATTTAAGTCTTTTCTTTACTTAGAAGAAGACGGTTCTTCTTTTACTTCACGCACAAAGTTGGTTTCCATCGACCTACTTGTTCATCTAAATCTAGGATTCTTACTACTTTTATACATTCTTCCTATCGCTATAAAAGTTCCTAAGCTATCAAAACAATGAAAATACTTGTCTTCATGTCCCGTTTCTGATAGCACTATAAAGCTCTAAATCAAAAGTTACAGTGTAACTGTTTAATGAAACTGTTTATTCCTCGTAGTGAATAGATCACCAAGACCTTTTTACTTACTGCATTCTAATAGAACCTTCAAAGAAAACTTAAATACAAACCCCACATCACAAATGTCTTTCGACACAAATGAATCATTCTCAGCAAACAGTCATCTCATAGAATTTCATCATAACTGTAAGAAAATTTCTGATTCATCATCAATGAGATTGGGGCAGGTTCTTGTAGAGTAGGAATTTGATGCTTCTCACCTAAATAACTTAATTCGAATCCAATTCGCGGCTCTATGCAATCAATCCTTCCATGGCAACAATAGATGTTATCTAATTAGTGAGTTCTAAAATTTTACAACACTTTACTTGATAGTTTTTTTAAAGTTGTATCCATCAATACCATTCGGCCAACGATAGTAATGGAGAGCATGTGTCATATGGAAAACTTGTTGAGGATCTGTTCGTTGGACCCCTTAAGAAATTGGACATGATTACTTCGATTAGACGTGATTAGTTCGATTAATCTTTCTAGTGAAGGTCATTCTATGGACAATAATCCAAGGAAAAATTACCACTAAAGAGATCTGCTATGGATTTTATGAAGGAGTATTGCGTCTTTTTGTTGACTAGCACTGCTTATAATAATACAGCAGGTGCTTCAGAATTAGTTCTGATATTATACGTTGGGAGGGGAGTTTTCAACCTATTCCATATTCTTCTTTCTTAAGCTGCTTCATGTAGACTGCAGTTTGAAGATTGTTGATAAGTTCTTTGAAAATATTTTCACACAAACGATACTAGCCATCAGTCACTTTCACACCATTCGCTAGAGTTTTGCTATGTCCGGAAAACTGTGATGGATTTTTATATGTATTCTTTCTTGATAAGCTTGCACGAGGTTGACAAATATATTTATTTTCGGCTAACGTTTCGACGTCTTCGTCTTCCTCAGAGCCGGTGATCCGAGTCGATGGTCCATGCTTGTTGTTCGCCTCGACGTTGCGCCTTCGCCTTCCTGTCGAGCCAGATCTTCCTCAGCGAGCCATCTTCTCCAATTCGAGATTCGTTCACATATTGGTAGCGCTTGTGTGAGATTGTATAGATCAAACTTAAACTCATTCACCTTTTTAGTGAAGTCCAATGCATGGCTCATCCGTCAGAGATTGGTCATCGCCGGGAGCTTTACCTTTTATCCTTTACTTGCAGGATTACCAACAGTCACCCTCTGTCCACACAATCACAAAATCTTTGAAGCATGTGAGCAGCATATTTATGGAGATTCAATAAATATACAAAAATGACAGCACCTTATTCTATTCTCAAACCGCCATAGCATAATGACGGTTCAGAAAACTTGCGCGGAGATGAGATCCGTGCTTGGTGACGGGGGTAGAAAGTTGGCACCATTAAGGTGACATTGATATAATCAACTAATAAGCGGCCTAAGTGGAAGAAGTTTCTCGATGAGCATGGATCGTTGTTTGGGAAACTTGCATCGTTCAAAATGTT